CCCCCCCCCCCCCCTCCTTCGACATCAACAACTGCTGTAGTTGGGGTCGTTTCACTCGATCTCTTGCTCTCTAGCCAGGATATGTGATATTTCTCCAGCCGCAGTCAGGAACATCACACAAAAGAATTGAGAACCAAATGCGGTACGCGATGGGCGCGAATTCACCGTTTTTTTGCGCCAAGTCGACACCAACTCCCTTCAACCGGAATCAAATACTAAGTACAAGATATCCACGTCCGAGTACTCCTTTTGGTCGACCATTGGTGTGCAATGTGCCTGTGAGGACGGCTTTTCAGTGAACAAAACTGCGTGCGGGAAAACATGATCATCGCCAGTTTCGTGCTTACTCAGAATATCATGCTTACTCAGAATACCCTACCCGTCCCCGTGGTGAGTGGTCTAACAACTAAGGCATGCAAAACATTGGTACCCCCCTCCCCTCCCCTCCCCTCCCTTGCCCTCCCCTCCGCCCCTAAATGCGCCATGTGCGTTGTGTTGGGGTGTTTTTTCGCCCGCGCGTGTTTCCCTTCAGCGTCACCCTAGACATTTCGGGACTGGCCGCGAAGCACGCCTTCGACTTCTCGCTGAATCGATCCATCGCGCACGGCTTCGCCACGTTTTACGTCACCTACTCCACCATCCGGTGAGACGAGAACGAGGAAAGCCCTGGTGCATACAAAGCAGCACAGGTAACTTGGTCGCCGAGCACGCAAGCAGAGGAGGCAGTCTGGCTAACTTCGTCGTCGTCGCTGTCAATGTGGTCGGTTGTGGCGCGGTAACCAGTGGCGTGCTGCTGCTGGTGGTAGTGGAACCCAGTCCGTGCCCGCTTTGGCCGTGGCGGGCACTGTTGCTGCTGCTGCAGCCGCCGCCGCCGCCGCCGCCGCCGTACCACCAGCCAGCGCATGTGGATGTGCTGCCTTGTCGTGCTCCGTACCACACATCCGGGCTGTGTGAGTGTGCCCACCCTTGGCATCCGTTTTTGTTTTGTTTTTTCCTGCCGGTTTTGATAATACTCTTTTTCTTGCTCTCTGCGCGGTCATCTCTTCCAGCATGCTATTTTTTTTTCTTCCTTTTTTTTTTCGTCGTGTCAGGAACTTCCGACGCGGCAGCACACCTCACCCGTCCAGTCGTTTCTCGAAGAGGTGTTCAGTTCAACACGTTCCTGCCCCGTGTTGTGTCGAAATGCCGGTGGCACCACCTCGATACCGTGTCGCCGCCATCGACCGTTTTTCCTGATGATCCGTAACCTTCACGGGCAAATGCAGATGAGCATCAATACAAATGGCGCATGAAAATTCAGAACCTTGACACTCAATTTTTACCCCCCTCCAAAAAAAAATGAGGAAAACAATTTTACCCCACCCAACCCCCTCCCCTCCCAAACAACAAAAGTGTGTTTGTGCGGTTCGGGCAAGCGATCGGCGTGATCGCGTGGGAGTCCCTCGACGACTTCCCCGACGCCCGCAAGATCGTCAACCACGCCACCTCCCAGTGGCCGATGTTCATCTTCATCGTCTTCATCCCCCAGTGCCTGACGGCGCTTTCGCTCGTGGGAACTCCCTGGCTGTGCAAGGGCGTCGCCGTACGTGAGTTGTAGAAAACTTGAATAAAAAAGCACAGAAAAGGGCTAGGAGTTTCGTTGTACAGTAGGGGTGGGAGGCGGTTTAGCGACCCCCTGTTGAGCGACATTGCCCGGTATGGTGACCGCAATAATCGCGTGTCACCACTGTACTGCACCCGCGGGTCAATGGCCGCTACTTATAGAGGCAACGGTAGCCTGCCCTGAATAGCGACCAGAATTCAATCCGGACACTATAACAGGGGTTGTTGCTAAACCGGGCACCACGACCGCTGTAACCGTGTTTTGCCGGTAAATTATGGCGACCATGACGATATCGCGGCTGAGAGCACCAGCAGTACTTCAGAGTCTCGGGTTCGCGCACGCCTCACCTCCTTTGTGCCGTTTTTTTTTTCGCTTGTGCTGTCGCCCGCTGCCCCTGAACACACTATTGTACGCACACAACACGTCCGAGCACCTTCAAGGAAGCTCAGTGCTGCTGCTGATGCTGATGCTGATGCTGATGCTGCTGCTGCTGCTGCCGTTGCTGCTGTCGCTGTTTCGCTTTGCCCTGCCGAACTTGTGCGTGTGTTCTCTCTCGCTCTGCACGCTTTGCGTAAGCAGGCCCCTTTCTGAATCAACAACACGCGGCAGGCGTGACGCCATCGTCGTTTTTGTTTTGGCGCATGCATGTTTATATCGACGCGTCACACCTCCCGCCTGCTTGCGTNCCCCCCCCCCCCCCCCCACCCGTCTCTGTCCCTCTGTTAAACAACATACGTATGCCAGCCGAAAGGGGGGGGGGGGTGTTCCACGGGGACCCCGGCCTTAGCCAGGCGTTTCCCTTTCACCTCAAGTGGCAGAACTTTTTGGAGGCGGCGAGGAAGGACGGGGTCGTCGATCGCCTGCAGAGGTACAGCAGTAAGGGGGGGGCTGCGCGATGTGTACACCACGCCGGTTCGCTTGGTGCGCTGTAGAGGCTGTCTTTGGCCGCTCGTTGTCGTGCTGCAGTAGTGGCTTGTCTCGCAGAAGGCCTTTTGTGCGAGTACTCCGTACGCATTTTCAAGTGGCGGTCGTTTTTCGCCTGGTTTGTTCTGAGCTGTAGGTTGTGGCGACGGTACTGAAAAGGGCCAAGCCTGCCGTGTCTTTTGACCATACGTCCGAGGGGGGGGGGGGGATATGGAACATCCACCAGTAGCTGTGGTTTCTGCTGGTGCTCGGCACTGCCTTGGCCCTCATTACGCCAAAGCACTCTCAATATATTATATTTCTTAAGTTGTGGACGATCATGTTGAGGGGGGGGTGTGGATTACGCAAATAGTCCAAGGAGAGGGGGACGGTGGGGTGTGTGTGCGTGCGGGACATACAGATCGATACATACCGATGATTTTTTCCGCTTAAGATCTAGGTAACCATGTTGTGGATTTTTGCCGCTTTTTCACAGATCGCACATCTACTGTTAGTTCCGCCCTGCTTTAATGCATTCCTCCCGCTCCCCTCTCACTCACTCCCCCTCCCTCCCTCCCTCTTTCTNCCCCCCCCACCCCCCCCCTCTCTTACACGCCTGTCTCGTTGCCTCCCTCCGGCCGACAGCTTCGTGTGCGTACGAACCCCCCTACTGTACCTGACAAGGTCGTACCCTAACCCGCGAAGGACAATGTCGGCGGTGCTCGTGGTGGGACTGGTGCAGTACGTGCAGGTGTGTGGTGCGGCGCGATTTTTGTTTTTTGTTGTTGTTGCCATCCCATTTGTGGGGCGATTTCTCTTTGTTGGTGTTGCCTTCCCAATTGTGGTGGGGACAGTGTTTCGCGGGCAGGAACGCTTGCGTGCGCTTCGGCTCTTCTCCGCGTAAAATCACCATTGCCGTTGCCCAGCGAACATCTTCTAGTTCCGGCATAGGTAGTCCCCAAAAATTATTTATTTTGCTTGCCTCTCCCTGGCCGTTCCCCCCCGTCTGCAAAAATAGCGCGACCGATAAATCTTTGTGTCATGTGAGGTGTTTGCATTCCTGGGCATGATCACGGAAGACGGGCGAGATCTGCCGGTCGTGCAGCAGGGGGCCCGCTCCCCCGCACTCGCGCGGGTTGGAGTAATTAATATGTACCTGACTGTGTGTAGGTCGCCTTAGACATGTTGACCGCACTACATCGGAACCCCGCGTTGTACTATTCGGACAAAACTGCCGGAGGTCACCGCGCGTGTACGTGAGTTTTCTAAATAGAAGTTGATGCCACCATCACCTTCGAAACAAACACCAACGTCGAGAGCGAATCATGATATCCTCCCTCACGCATCGGACCGGCCCCTCCCAGCACCGTCGCACGAGTCGCGAACGTCGGACGTGCAACCCCCCCCCCCCCCCCCCCCCCCCCCCCCCNCCCCCCCGGCTCCCCCTGCTCCACGCTGCAACGTTGCGCCACTTCTCCAGCAGTTTCGTGCACGGGTAACAAACTGAAGAGTGAAAACATGTATTTTTTATAATTGAATTAAAGATAGTTCTCAAGTCGCTGCCCTGCCCCGCTCGGTCTTGTGTCTCACGTCAATGCCTACGGTGGAGCTTATTTGCTTTTCGTTATTCCTGAAACTATTGTGGTTGTGTTGCAATAGATCCTCTTGCACCGGTTCCCGAACTGGCGAGCTGATATGCGGCCGTCGGGCAAGAAGGGACGGTTGTGCGTGCACTTCTCGCTGCTGGCGTGCTTGATCCTCACCGGCAGGTAAGCTGTTGTTCTTTGTTGTGGTGGTTGTTTGTTTTTATTGTTGTCGTTGTTGTTGTTGTTGTTGTTGTTGTTGTTGTTTGTTTGTTTTTATTGTTGCGGATGTTGCAACTGTTGTTGTTGCTGTTGCTGTTGCTGTTGTTGCGTTGGTGTTGCTGTTGCTGCTGGTGTTCCAGGTGGCGTTTTTGCTCTTGGTGGCGGTGGTGCTGATGATGTCGTGGCCGTCGATGCTGTTGGAGCAACTGCCGTCTTGGGGCACACGATTTGTCTTGTGCTCGTTTTGTTTTTTGTTCGGTTTGCCTTTTGAGCAGCTCATCGAAAGTCTCACGCAGCAAGAAGCCCTGGTGGTTGAGAATTGCAAACAGCACTCAAACGTAGAACAGAACCAGAGAATGGGAACGGCGAAAAGCTCGCGGTTACGTGCAGCTTAGGCGTATTTATTTTGCTGTGGGGCACGTGTGCCGTCTCACCCCTTGAGGGGCTAGCATGCGAAGGTGGCAGATGTTGACGGGAGTAATGGGGTCGAGTCGACTCCGATGCCCCCACGTACGCATACCGTGCAATACTTCTTGAGGACCACCGGAGCACGAAGCAAACAGATAAGACGTGAGCGAGAGCTTTACAATGAGCATGCCCTTCACCGCTCGAGGTTCGACGCCATGCTCCTGTCTCTGCGCCTCTCTCTCTCTCCCTCTCTCGCTCTTTCTCTCACTCTCCCTCTCTCTCCCTCCCTCCCTCCCTCCCTCCCTCCCTCCCTCCCTCCCTCCCTCCCTCCCTCCCTCCCTCCCTCCCTCCCTCCCTCCCTCCCTCCCTCCCTCCCTCCCTNCCCTCTCTCTTTCCCCTCTGCATCTCTTTCGGTCGGCGTTTTGCTTTCAGGTGGCTGGTGGGCTGGATGTTCCTCCAGCTGGGGCTAGATCTGGCCGGGCAAGTGCTGGAGGAGTGGGTGAGGGACCTTGGATGCTTCGGGGAGTTCATGCTCGGGGTGTGGAGGCTAACCTTCAGGGGTATGGGTGATATCCAGGCAAGACATGATTTTTTTCTGGTGTGTTTGAAGGGGGGGGGGAGGTTGATGCTGTTGTCGTTGCTCATCATTGTTGTTTTTGTTGATGTTGCCAAGAAGGCTATGTTGTGGTGTCATGGGGGTTGTTCTTCCTGCCGTTGTCGTCATCGTCATCGTCGTCGTTGTTGCTGCTGCTACTGTTGGCGTCAAAAGGCACCCCGATACTGTAAATCACTCCGCGTCGCCTCCGTGGCAAAGTAGCATCCTATTGGCACGGCTACTTGAGAGAGCGCCCGAACGGCATGGATTCAATTATCCAGCCGCCACAGCAGCGGTAGTGCCTAAACCCGATCGCCACACCCGCAAAGTCCCCTTCCGTAGGTTTTACGTGGCTCAGGCCCATCCTTCCGGTACCGTGCTCACACAATATTTTTGTTTTTTGCCGCTACCCACCTTCTGGCTGGGGTTAGATCATGTTTGTGCGGGGCGGATGTGACCGACCTCAACTCCGCAAAAAGGCGGACGGTCGCACCACGCAGCGTGCACATACATGTACCTCTCTCCACGGCAGTCTCTCGCTCAGGGAGCGAAGCCCCATACCGGCAAGCAAGCACACCGGATAAAATTGAACGCCGTACATGCATTTGGGAAGACAACAGCAGCAGCAACAACAACAACAATCAACCATACACAGCCCAGTTCTGAGCACGACGGGTTCTCGCCGACCAGGCGATCTGTTGACCCAGCGGGGAGACCGAAACGCCGGGGGTTGAGGGAGGCAATTTTTAGCCGAGTCACTGCCGCCGCCGCCGCGGTGGCCGCCGCCGGGAGGAAAGAGCGAACCGCGGCTCAAAACCCGGCGGACCTTCCTCCGACGCAACTTGTCTCTGCTCCTCTCTTCGCCCCGCACTACAACGGACTTCGTAGGGGTGCGAGGGAGGGGCGGTGGCCTTCGAACACAACATGACCTTGCGCACACTTCGAACCTCAATGACTAACTCTACAATGGATGCGATTGGAGGCAGTGCCCGTGATGCTGGGCACGGCACGACTTTGGGCATGAATGGCTATATATATACCTCCAAGACTCTATTTAGTGCAGCCCCGCTCATCCACACGCCATTGTGCTGCCCCCGGCAGGAGTATGGGCCGTAATCGCGGGTGCCTCCACCACTTTCTAGTGCAGCCACCTCTCATGCTCACCGTTGCACTCCCCCCCACGCAGGAGTCTGGGCTGTACATTATTTTGGCGTGGACGCTGTGGGTGGTGATGATCGCGTACGTCCTGTGCAGGAACGCGTCATCGGCTGTCCCTAAGGACCGGGAGCTGAGGTCGTTCTTCCAGAACCTCAAGACGAGGTGGGAATTTTTTTTTTTTCGGTTTGGCTTTTTTGTGGTCACACGTGCTTTTATATTATAGAGGACGATGTCCTTGTTGTATTACAACGGGGCTTGTTGTTGTGTTGTCAACGTTGTCGCTGTCCACGTTGTAGAACGCCACGAGCCTGTGTAATTCAATGTTGATTGCTGCACGTGTTGTTTCAACGTTTTTTCCCCATGCGTGTGTATGTTCCAGCTTCGTCGTGGAAGTAACGCTTTTCTTGGACGGTTTTTCCCCGCGCGTATGTGTGTGCAGCTTTATAGTAGCCGTCACGTTCTTCTTTTTGAGGGGATGCGCGTCCCCCACCATGGGCTTCATCCAGGCCCAGCAGGAGCTCACGATCCTCACCATCGTCATCCCCATCCTCTACGTGGCCCTGTACACCACCGTCAACGCCGCCCTGCAGATGTCCGTCGGCCTTGTCGTCGTCGGAGGTGGGCATGCTGTTGGGAATTGTTGTTGCTGTTGGTGGTGTCTTGGGGTTGATGAGAAATTAGTGTGGTATATGGCACAGGGGGTGGCCCGATATAGTGCCGGTTGAATAGTGCCGGTTGCCGGTATAGTGTCGGTGTTTTCGACTCGCACACAGTGGAATATCATGTCGTTCTTCTGTACTTTGAATAGTGCCGGTGCCCGGTATAGTGCCGGTGAATATTCTCGGCACATACCGGCACTATATCGGGCCACCCACTGTATCTACCTTCCGAAACAAGACACGAAGAGGAAGACTCTCAATCGACAAAATCAACCTTCTTTAATTTTTGATAGCAAACAATTCCTGCACCACCCCTTACTCCTTCGTGATCCCCGCTGATAGGTGAAGAATCTACCGTGTGGTCCCAACGTTAAAGGCCTTAATTGGTGACAAGAACAGATGATGGGTCGAAATTTCATCTGCGACCAACACATTCTTTTTTACTGCTGTTTGTGTGTGTTTTGGGGGGACGGAGGGGGGCTCTCAGTACGGCAGCAAAGGATGGAGATGTGGAGCTGTCCCGATGCCTTCAACGGCGGGAGAAACAGGGCGTGTGTGGTCTAAATAGTGCGGGGACGTTGTGGCAATATGTAGCCCCGATCGACCCCCACCCAGCATATCCCTCTTCGCATGTGTTCCCCCTCTCCCTCTATTACCATATGACACCCCGCGGTCACGCCACGCGGCACGCGCCTTCCTGGATGGGATGCAGGGCCTGTGGCAATGTTTGTGTCGGTGAAGCTTTGCCAGTCTAGCGGGTTCGGGGGGCCGGGAACGTTCGTGGTTGTGTTCCTGCACATGTTCATCAAGCTCCTGCAGCTGTTCGGGGATGATGACTTCGCCGCCTCGGAAAGGGTGAGAGCGTGGGCGAAGAGAATGTTTTTTTAGGGATGCGAGGTCAATGGTCTGACGACTACAGCATGCACGACGATGAGTACACCCCCCCCCACTGTGATCGAAGTCCCTTGCGGTAGTCGTGCCTGCCGAATGTGAAACGTTTGGTTAGCAGGGATGCCCAACCTTCCCATGGCATACCGTATATGACACAAGATAACACACCTCCCTGGACCAATTTTCAAAGCTCGATGATGCGACAACGAAGAGATTGCATAAATGAAACAACACATTTTCGGAAAGCTCTAGACGAGACAGCTTCAACACCACCGTTTTCCGCGCTGTAACTCTTTCTGCTGTCGAGAAATCGAGATTTGAAAATTGGTCCAGTGGGTGTGTTATCTTGTGTCATCTACGGTATATAGATCTGAATTGGCAGCGTACGCAAGGACGGTGACCAGGTAGTGGTTAGTCCTCCTCCAACGTAGCCTGGGCCGGCGAAAACCCGGCATATCGCCCGGTCTATGGTCTAACGGCTACGGCATGCACGACCATGAGTACACCCACCCTGCGGCGTTGATATCTTTTGGATGGTTGCCCCCTGTGTTGTTTTCTTGGATGGTTAACTCTTAGGTACACACGTGAGCGGTGTTGCAGATTTTAGGATGGTTGGTGCCCAGCTGTAAAGCGTCCACTTGCTTAAGTCTGTCTTCGTCGTTCTTGTTTTCTTCCTACAGGGTGTGCTTCTTCTCTGCTTTGCCATTGACAGGACGGTTATGGCGGACTGAATATTTGGGGTTACATAAATGTTGTACTGTTTCACGAGGTGCTTTTTCTCTACTTTGCCGTCGGCAGGAACGGTTACGACGGACTGAATTGTTGTCGTCTATGCTTTTGCTCGAACTTTGTAGATGTATAACATCTGTGTCACGATGTGCGTGCTTGTTCTCCACCTTGCCATTGGCAGGACGGCTACGACGAGGACGACGCCCGAGGCCGGCCATCCGTGTCCGCCCCCGGCACGCCCCGCGTCAGCAGGTCCCCCCGCGTCCTGCCCTCCTTGCCGCCGTATCCAACCATCGCCGTCGCCGCCAATGTGTCCGCCACCGCCGCCGTCGATAACGGTAACGGCGGCGTTGAGGGAGAGGCAGACGGTGGTAGCGACGACGATGTGTCGTCCTGTGAAGCGGAGGAAGGAGGGGGAGTTGGAGGCGACGCAGATGATAGTCATGCCACTAGTGGCGGTGTCGATGCTGACCGCGGGAGGGTGGCGCCTCCTGAACGCAGCCGACGGGGTATGAGACTGGCAGCGGCACCACCGAGGGGCCGGAAGAGCCTAGACCACGGCGGAATCGACGGCGATACCACGTGTGCAAGCGAGGAGTTCCGGTTACCGCCGCCAACGGTGGCCCCGCATCAGCCACCATTATTGAGGCAGCAGGCTCAGGACACAGAACGGCGAGGGGGCGCCGCCGCCGCCGCCCGCAAGTCGAGGTCGTCGTCGGCGTCCCCGTCGTTCCTCTCCGCTTCGGCACGGCGTCAGTTTAACCCCATCCACGCGTCGCTGTTGCCGTCGGCGGCGTCGGGAGTTCCAAGCACCGGCGGCGGCGGTGGTGGCGGCGGCGGCGGTGGCGGTGATGGTGGTACGGGTGGCAGCGTAGAACAATGGCAGCGGCAACGGCCCCCGGTGAGGAGCTGGAAGAGCGAGTGGCCCTTGTACCGACGGTCCATGTCGGGCACGAGGGGTGGCAGGGAAGACAACGAGACCTCCGACTCCGCTGTTCGGGACGGCCGTAATGCATCGTTGTCCGCGTTAGGGAGCGTGGAGGGTGGCGACGGCATCGGAGGCGCGACGGACTGGGGGCAGTTCGGAGGCGGCGGGGCGGGGGGCAGGTATCAGCCCGGCTGGCAGTACACCGGGGCGAACGAGGGAGGTGGCGAAGGGGGAGATGGATCGACGGAGCCGTCGTGCAAGAGGTACGTTTGTTCTGTTGGTGGTTGCGTGTCCGCTACCATCGTTGACAAGAGGTAACCAACGCCCTAGGTCAGTGGTCTAACAACTAAGGTGCACGAAACATGAGTACCCCCCACCCCCCCTCCTGTGCTTTGAAGCTCGCTCTGGGCGTTCACCACCCATCGGTACCCGCTCTTATCGACAGTTTCGGGGATTGTGTTTGGTTTTGATGGTGCACGAAAAGATGGGTGTTTGATGCGAGCGGAAGCCGTCTTCATTAATTTTCCTTTTATGTATTCGTTGGCGTTTGTTTTTGTTTCGTGCTTCCTCGTGTGTGTGTGTGTTTTTTTTATTCAGGCGCATCCGAAGACGATGTTTGAGCGTGGACGACCTCCAGTTCTTGTCGAGCCGGAGGAGGAACGAGGAATGGACGGCCGACTGGGGTGAGTACATGACACCGACACCACTACCGGCCGCCGCCGCCGCCGCCGCCGCCAACAGCAACGTAAGAGAAAACCGCAACACCAACCCACACGCCTGCTTGCGAACGCCCCCCACGCTCTCGAAGAGCGCTTGACAGGCCGCAGAAACACTTTCGACCACAAAGGCGTCGGCAACGGTCGATCAGCAGCGGGAGAGGGTGGCAACGAACAGAACGGCGGACCTCGGCTTGGCCGCAGCACTAGCAGCGACACCGCCAAGCGAAGCGATACCCAAGGCACCGCCGACAGCCTCGACAGCAACAACTACTACGAACCACACTATCTGAGACCCGCGTGGATGCGGTCGGGCGTAGCCTCGGGGGTGGCGAGTAGCCTCGCCGCGGCGATTGAGACCAACAGCAACGCGCAGTTCGTGTTCAAGGGCACCATGCGCGGCGGGTGCGCGCTCCTGGCGATCCTGAGCCTGTTCCTGGCGTCCTGCCAGATCATCAGCCTCCTGCAGGAGCAGCACGAGTGGTGAGTTTGAGAGGTTGGAGGAACCCGAGCCAAGAATCGCCGTTTTGTACAGCTGTTTGTTGCTGCTGCTGTTGTTGTCGTCGTCGTCGTTGTCGTTGTCGTTGTCGTTGTTGTTGTTGTGCTTTCCTTGAAGCCCGTTCTGGTCTATCTCTGTCCATTGTCTCCTCCACCCTGTTTCTTCTTGAACGGAATGGAGCGGATTTTCAGGAACGCACACTATTTTCTCTGAATTTTGCTATCTTTCTTGTCCGTGTGTGTCACGGCCTAAGTCTCCATTTTTGCGAACGTTTTTCTTGCCGGTGTTGCAGTTTTTTTGTTTTTTTCTCTGTCCTGACATCCCATAGTAACACATGGTAACATCGTTGGTGCATTGCTCGTTTTTCTTTTTTTTTTGTCAGGTATCCCAGCCTGATCAAGTACTCCGTGACGGACTCGAAACAGCTGGTAGTGGACAACGCCTTCGTGGTGAAGGCCACGCTGGAGACCACGGGGGATCCGGTCATCGTGCCGCCCAAGTACGATACGTAACCGTTTGTTGTTGTTTGAAGATGGCAGACTGACTGACTGACATGCGCCAGGGAAAGATGGGACCAAAAAACAATAAAAAAAAAAAAATGTGGGAAAACGACGTGTTAGTGCATAGATGTGTCCGTTTACCACCTGCTGCATACGAGGCTATTTTTTTCCCCTCCCACCTCTCGTAAATAAGCTTTGTTTATTGCACTGGTCGCTAGTCGTGTACGTCGATGTAGCGTTGGTGTGGTGGTGTTGTCGCATGTGGCTAGGCAAGGGCTACCTATTGAGACCACGGGGGGGG